AGCGGCCGCCCCCCCACCCCTGCCACACCCCCAAATCAGTCCTCCTATGGGCCCGCCATCTTGTTTTTCGGTTCTGCACATGCGCAGAACAATTGCAATTGCACAAATCTTTTTTTCATTTTTTTTAACGTTTTGCGCATGGACAGACCTATTTTTGGATGCACCGAACCAGCAGTAATGCTAGGAGCAACCAACCCCTGGTCTACTCAACATGTGGTTATCACACCACATTTTGTACCAGGATTCATGCTGTTTGTTTGTTTTTTCGAGAAAGGATGAAGGAAAAAGCATTGAAGGGAAAATGCCACAGAGATCCCAACAGCTTCACCAGGCTACTTATTAATGTTGGCGATTCATTAATACCTTTAGAGCGTGTTAAGATGGCTACTGACAATCATTTTATAATGGTTCAGCTTTGATATTATAAATGTAATCATGCAATCAAAGAAAAATCAGAGGGGGAAAAGCAGTGCAAAGTAGAACTTTACAAAAGGAAGTTTGGGGAGAGGTAAGAAATCCTCCAATGCGATTGGAAAACCTGGATCGAGAAAGGTTTCTATCCTGGAGCAAAGAACTAATGTGCAGTCAATCCCAGCAAGCATCTAGCTCTGCATTTCTTTTTTTTCTTCTTCGTGATGCGCCACGACTCTCAGAGCAAGGGAAGATCTGAAGCCTTAAAGCAAAAAAAAATCCTCCGCCTTCCGCACACAAAATATGCTTTATGCATGAATTGTCTTAGGCTGACATCCCGTGGTAAAAATTATTAAGGCACCCATATAGCTATTTTCATTCTGTTTTTGTAACGACGATGTGCTGCACCCTCTTGTGGCAAAAGAGCATGGCGTCTTACTGACTAAGCAGTACTTAAAAAAAAATATTTGTCATTCAGAGAGATGCTGCTAGATGCTCCTGGAATTGCAACTCATTCCATTTAATGCTGCAAAGGCTTTTGGGATTTGTAGTTCTCTAACTTCTGTAGAGACACCAGATGCATATTTCTGTTGTAAACGGCTAAAATAGGTTTCTGGTTTGTACCAAAAACATGCAGGCCGCTATACAGAATCTAAAAAGTAGAAATAATAGAAATAGTATTAACTAGAAACAATCTAATTGTTTATAATAATGGAGAAATAATACTAAGGCACTGTAGGTGAGGATAAAGCCTAAACTCAATTGTCTTCCAATTAAAAAAGGCCAGGCTCAATTTTTCTTGATATTTCCGTTTGTTTGTCAGCATTCGAACCTAATTGTTTAAAAATATGATAATGTAAATCACCAATTGGGAATAGAGGAGGGAATTTAAAATTATGAATTTCCCAAAATTGTTCCTTTTAAAATCGTTATGAGTGTGTGTGTCTTCGGGACAGTGATAAATATATCACTATTAATATGCTTACAGCTTTATAGACATTTATATTTATTTGTAAGGCAACAGAATGACCTTACAGACATTTAAAGTAATGAATGAAATAATAAATATTAAATATTGTGAAGATAGTAAACTCTTTGTTTTTTATTTATTCAATTTTAACTGCTGCCCACCTCACCCAAGTGACTCTAGATCTTCGCAACAGTTAAAAGCAATTCAATAAAAACAAATTTAGAACCAATACAAAACCCTATAAAACAATAATTAAAGTTAGCACCTACCCCTCTCCTAGAAGAATAAAATATTCTAGGAAATATAAATAAGGCAGAATATTATACCTCCCTGGGTGAGAAAAAAAAAGAGCCCCCACCCTCCACAGCAGATGTTGGCATTTATTTATTTATTTATTTAAGAAATAAAGAGATGGCTAGGTCTATTCATAAGCAAATACCCTCACCCAAGATCCAACAAGGTAGATTTAGCCCTCTACCCAGATCACCAGATGACACCTGAGAAGATTACATCACCCAGCAAAATTCAATTAAGCTTGGGACTCAAGACAATCCACAAAGTTACCCCTGCTGTATGGCCCCATGGGAGTCTGACAACCAATCAGAATACAAGCTCAAGTTCGGGGTCCAACAGAGGGTATACATCTCTCTCCCTCTCTCACCCATGTACTCATTTTGCCCAGGACGTCAAACCATGTGGTCCTGTCCACCATTAACCCATCTTTCCAAGCAGCTAGCAATAGCAATAGCAGTTAGACTTATATATCGCTTCATAGGGCTTTCAGCCCTCTCTAAGCGGTTNGTACAGGGATAGTAAAATACATAATTTTTCCTTTTTGACTTAAAATGTACAACTCGATTTGGATGAAGTATACGTAAGGATTGTGGAAGAAACGCACGGAATATATTTGTAACCAATCGATACGCTTTCTACAAGATGTAACGAAAGATGATTCCCTTTTTTGTGTGTGTTTTTGTTTAACTAAAACAATAAAAAAAATTCTCAAAGAAAAAGGGACTTCTGGCTGTTTCTCCCACTTAGGACCGTGACATCCCCATGTTCACACAAGAACAAAACTCGGATGCTTGGCAACTGACTCACATTTTCCCCAGGATCATGTGATCCCCTTTTGCCCCCAGCACAATCAAGGGGGGGGGGCAGATTCACTTAACGACCAAGTCACTAACTTAACGAATGCAACGATTCTCTTCACAATGGTGGCAAGAAAAGTCGTAAAACGGGGCACACTCATTTCATAAATATTTTGCTTCGCGACATAAATTTTGGGTTCGATTGTGGTCATAACTCAAGGACGACTTGTGCAGGGACTGTTTTCCACACTTAGGACCGTGGTAACATCCCCATGGTTATGTGATCAAAATGAGGATGCTACCATTGCTGTATCTCAAGGACTGGCTGATATTAATGTCACATTTCAACCCTGAGCTACAAATATTCTCCTTTACTGTTGACGTTATATATTTTCTCCCTTCTTCCTTTTTCCAGGATTCTTACAGGAAGCAAGTGGTCATTGATGGCGAAACCTGCCTGTTGGATATTCTGGACACAGCTGGCCAGGAAGAATACAGTGCGATGCGCGACCAGTACATGAGAACGGGGGAGGGTTTTTTGTGCGTATTCGCCATAAACAACACCAAATCGTTTGAAGATATCCATCATTACAGGTAAGCCCGACTGAATTAATGCATGATATTGCATGATATCTCTGGCTCTGCAGGGAAAATACAGAATAACAGAGTTGGAAGGGACCTTGGAGGTCTTCTAGTCCAACCCCCTGCTCAAGCAGGATGCTCTATATCAGGGGTGTCAAACTCAATTTCATTGAGGGCCACATCAGGACAGTTGAGTCCAGAAACAGCGTAAATTTGTGATGTGTGTTGCGGGAATATTACCAAGCGTTTAGAGCAGTGATGGCGAACCTATGACACGCGTGTCAGTGCTGACACGCGT